CGCAGGGGCCATGCTAATCTTCTCTGTATCGTTCCAATTTTAGTATATGTGCTGCCGAAGCGAGCACGCTACATAAGATTTCTTTTTGTGCCACGGGCATTTCATATTTAACATATTCAAAGTCATATATTTATCCCCTTTACCCATTACCAAATATATTCCTTCTCCAGTCATCTTCATCTCATTAAACATCTTCATCTATCCAATTGTTCAAGCCTGAGTCCTATGATTTATTTGCGATTCCACCTTTCACTCATCCTCAACATCTAATCCAATTCAACTACAAAATATTCTGACTCCTCTCATCCTCCCCTCTTCTCAACAGCCACAGTAGTTCATGCTAATATCTTCTCTTGCCTGTACTGTTTCAATAAGTCCACAGTAATAACTTTTGAATCCATCATTCACATGGCAAAGGAAGTGACTTATTAAAAACAAAAATCAGACCATCTCTCTCTCTCGAGCCAAAAAGCCTTTAGATTTTAGAACAAAAAAAAAAGAATAATAGCTGAGAACACATCCTAGATGTATTCAATAATATAATGGAGATGTTAAAAGAATGAGTCAGATTTTAAAATCTTTCAAAAGTTTGCACTTCAATTTTGGATAAAATGTAAAGTCCTTCTATGATCTCAAAGACTCCACATCTCTGGTCCCCTACTCTCCCCTTCTGACTTCATTATATACTATTCTTCCTCCTTCACTGCTCCACTTCCATGGACTGATTATTCTCTTTATTAACACAACAAGCCTATTTCCAACACATTGCTTTTGGACACAGTTTCTTCTGCTGTAATGCTTCTCCCCAGCTGTTTACATGGCCAACCCTATCCTTCTGTAGGTCTCATCTCCGGAACTACGTCCTTACGAGTGTCCTTCCTGACCTCCCTAAAGTAGCCCTTCTTCCTCAAAACAATGTGATGTATTACCTCATATTCTTCATAAGATAGAAAACTGTCTAAAAAATTTTTATTTACTTATTCATTTATTTTTCTTTGTCTGCCTCTACCCTAAAATATAAATTTGTACAAAGATCTTGCTCTTTTATTCACTGTTGTATCCCAGTGTATTAATAGAGCCTGTTTCAAAGGAAACACTCAATTACTATTTTTGAGTATTATTGGTTTTGAAAAATGAAACTAAACTTCAGATTACCACCAAGTTAAATGCCTGGAAGGTATCTTGAGGTAAACCACTTTGGATTCAGTGCTTCTGATGCCTTGTGTCTAAAAGGGTTGTTGTGGATGATAGCAACTGATACTGATGGCTAAGAATTGTAAATTTGGGAGGTAGGGTTTGGTGAAGACTGAGAGCCATGTGACTGATCCAGATGTTAGAACATTCCTCCAGATTTCCAAAGTGCCTGCCAATCTTCCAAAGTAAAACTGAACAGGCTACTGTTTGCCAAGGATGGCAGAAGCTAGAAGAGAAGACCCAAGTTCTACTGCTCACCTTGGCTTAGACTTAGGGCCATACTGACTTGAGTGGACATTTAGTCACCTTGAAATAGCCTAAATGTTGCATGAGAAACTCTATTGTTTGCACCTTCCCCAAACCACTTCTTGTCTTACACCAAGGAAACACACTGGTCACTTTGTTGCTAGGATGTCCTAGCAACAAAGTGTCAGTGGAACAGCAGGGTTCTGCAGTTCAAGGGTTTGCTCTCTACTGCCTCAGCCTCATAAAATAACTGAGAAGAGGAAGAGGCTGAACTCAAAGGAAATGCAGTGATTGGGTTGGCTACCATGTCTCTGAGAACAACACTGGTGACTAGGCAACCCTTCCCAAGAAGATTAACAATTACTGGTATATTCCTTCAACTTCAGTCCTTTATTCCCAAGCTCGCTTCTAGTTTGTAGATCACTGCTAGCCCAAACGCACCTCTTGCTTAGCCAGATCACTAAGTCAGACACAAGCTGAAACCTTAAGGGGAATGCAGTGGTGAGCTCCAGAGACTGTCTGCTGTAACTAGGCAAACCGCATACCTTGACTTGCCCAGGACACTCCCAATTTATGTCTGATGTACTGGAGTTATTTATTAACAATATCGCCAAAAATATCTCAAAACTATCCTTTTTTGAATAATAAATTATATGAAAGGCCTAAGAATAAGTCATACACAGTGCTTGAACATTTGTACTTGGAAGATAAATTCAGATACTGAAGTAGCACCACCAACTCTTTAAAAGAATACCCTAAAGTTAGCATTATGGATATGCAATACTGCGTGTTGATAAGTAGTCTCAAAACGAATTAAACATTTATAAAAGCATAAGTATCTTTTAGTAAATTATTTCAATTCTAGCCTTATAATCCAAAGAGTACACTAGAAAATGATTGTGTTGCAGCAACACTAGCACTTTGCATTAGTATAGGGGATGATATGTCCAAATTTCTTTGTATGCATTATGTATATTATATATATATACATTTAAATGTTGTATTGGCTGTTAGCTAAGTAAAGTAGTCCACCCTATTTTGGAAACACAATTAGAGTGTTGTGGAAGTTTTATATTTTAATGTGTTCATTTTATATGAAGAAGTGAAGTTACAGAAACACTTATTACCATGTTTGTTTTTTTTATTATAACGTTTGCCAAACATGAATGGACCCTATCTGGGGAACTATAATCTCTCACCTCTTTTGTCTGCGGATTCTGGCTCATTGATTAGTATTTAGTGACAGTGGAATGCAGTTTTAGAGACCATCAGGTCTATAAACATACAGTGTGAAAGGCTAACAAATCTCTGAAGGAGAAAATACTGGATTTTGGCCTCATTAAACGATCAAATCAGCTGAGATATCTGCTCCATGTGGATTAATAATAATACTTTGCATCTACAAAAGATTCAGAGCTCTGATTATCATAGCATGGCAATGCATTTTTGGGATTTGAAAATTATATATATACATATATAAATATATACATTTCTATATAAAATATTATACATATAGACAGACACAGACCTTTAATTTCACATCTGTGTGTAGAGACTTAGCTTTGGTGCTTCAATTAAATCAAGTAGCATGAATATTAAAAATTTAGAGATCTGCATCTAGCATCTGTCAGTAAATAAAATAAAACAAAAATTCTAAGCACTTTGAAAGCATTACTCTAAGTAATCCCAGGCCATCCAGTTGTAGCACTTAGTGACCAATAAGTGGACCTAGAAAACATACTTAATAAGCCCTTATATTTATATGAAGGTTTTACCTTCTTAAAACCCTTTGAACACATTATTTCATTTCATTCATTAAATTCTTTTATGATGATTTGTGGAACTGTTATCATTCCTACTTTATAGAGAAATCCAAAAGAAAACCATTTCCTCAAATTTTGCACAGTGCTCTCTGATTAATAAAGTACTTTCATATATTATTTCCAGGGTTCCTGATGTTGATTAGCATGTAACATTTCTCATATATAATCTTGTTTGAAATCTCCACCATGGGTTGGCAGAAAGCAGAGGTGCTGAGGCGAAGGGGTCAGTGATCTTTCCCAGTCCTATCCTCACTGTACCGCATACCCCAGAGACCTCTCCTTGGAACACCCAGAACACACATCCTAGAAACGTTTTTGAAAACTGTTTTTTAAAATATATTTTAGCAATCTCATGAGCAAGTCATACATTTTACAATGACCAAATTAAGAAATGAAGTTTTAGTGATAACAATCCTTTTGGTTGAAAGAAGTTAGTTAGAACATGGCCTACCTTGCAGCTTGGGTTTATGGTCCTTGTCCATTATTTTCCACAGTTTGACAAGTGAGAAAAGAAAATTTTAATCTACACAAGATAGTACTTCAGAGAAGTAAGAATATTGTAATTCCAAATGACCAGGCTACTTAGAAAATCTGAGAAAGGCTAGATCTCCTAATCCTGCAGGTCTCCATGCTACTGCTTTGGAAACATGGTAGGATGGGTCAGTCCACCACTATCCTGTGCCCATTCGAGATCTCTAGCAGGTGGCTGAGCCCTACTTTGGTTAGATGGAGCAGACGGTCTTTCTTTGCTTTTGCTAATTGACCTTCCAGGTATTCAAGACTAGTTTTCTATTATGAGAGAGCTTAAGGTATTATCTTTAGCTATTAAATAGAGGGCTGGTCCATTGGGGATGAGTCTTGGATAACAGAGGAGCCTTATTCTCTTCTGCAAGATCTCCGATGGGTGGGCTGGCTACTATTGCCCAGTGCCCTCAACAAATAGTGCTCGTAAGGAGAACGGGATGCTAAGCCTCGCACAGGTCATTGGCACTTCCGGTGGACGGAAACTTCGTGTGTCTCCCAAGTGGCCATGATCGGCACACCCTCCCCTATTCACTCTCAACCCCTTCCTGCCAGGTCATATTGAGTCAGAGGAAGATTAAATCACCTGTCTGCAGCATTGTACCCAAATTTTAGTTATTTCTTAGATCAAAATCATTTAAAGGTTATGTTGAAGTATGCCTCATTTATTTCCTGGTTCTACTATGGCCTCTTCTTCCCAAATCATTGGCTAATTCATATTCAGCCTTCTGGGATGGTATAAAGGAGAACCATCATGTTATTTTGCCAAATATCTATTTATTACCCATCTCTATCCATCTATCTATTATATTTATCCATCATCTATGTATATTTATCTGTGAAGGCAGCTCTCTTAATAAATGAAATTAGAAATAAAGTGTTTTCCATTAAGAAGGAGATATTTGTCTAAATTAGTAATTTTAAGAATTATTTTTATTTTTCTATTTATAAATATAAATAATTTATTAAGATAGAAGGTATATAAGAAGTGAATATTTAGCACTATAAAATTGTGGGGGCATCTACCAAATGCACCAAATGTTTAACATCAACTGTCATGTTTTTAATCCCAATGAAATATCTGTATATTTGGAAAACTGACTAGGACCTAAGATTCAAAATAATGCCAGATGGCAGAGTGGGTGAGGAGATATTTTGGGGCACACTGTCAGCTTGGTATTCTCTTACATCACTTTATTTATCTATTTTTAACAGCTTGCTCTGATTACAGATATAGTGGCAGTACCAGCAAAAAGCAGTAGCACTATTCTCACAGGATCTTGAAAATCTGATGCCATAATAAGAAGTAGAAAAACCAGTTTAGAGATTCTAGGATATAACAGAAGTGGAAAGAGGTAAGGAGAAAGTATAAATTCTTAATTGTTTATTATTCACTTCATGGAAGTTATTTAATGTCTATAATTATATTCATTGTTGTCACTTTTCATTTAACATATACATACGATGCTATCTTGTTCTCAAGATCCTAGTCTGTGTTTTTTTCTGTTGTGTTATATATTAAAATGATACGACATACCCCTAATACTATCTTTACTCTGGATGACTTTTTGTCTGGGGTAAAGGCTTTGAATCTCACATCAAAGCTCACTACTTACAGCAGAATCACAGAAAGCATCTTTGTACAGCAGCCTCAATGGACCCCCTTACCCAGGCACTAAGTAGTTCTAAAGTGTAATAAAGATAACCACCATTTCTAATGCATCACTCAATATCCCTACCACACTACCCTTTGGTATCATATTACTTTCAATTATTTGGAGGTTATATATGTGTATATGATACTAGATAAATTTAATGTCATTAACCCTGAAATATCTAGAAAGCTCGATAGAAATATAGTTCTACTCCAGAAAAAATTGCAATTGAAGTTTAATCATCTAAAGAATTTTCATTCGTTTGATATATTATTAGCATACCTAATTTTGTCTCAAACTGTAATTAGTAGAGATAGTTGGTAAAATACTACCAATGTCTTCTTTGACAACTGAAAATACAGGAGGATCTTAAGATCATTGGTTAAAACATTAGTTCTTATTTTATATAATAAGACATAATGACATAGAAGATACAGTTAGAATTGACTCGAGAGTCATCACATACCTATAGATTCATTAATTAAAAAAATAGGTTTCTTTTATTTTTTCTTTCTTTTCCTTATAGAAGGTATCAGAAAAATATTGAGTGTTTCAAAGTTGCTGAATTGGGATTAAGAAACCACAGTTTTAAAAACAATGTGTTTTCATTACTACGTAGCATAGATTAAAAACAGGATCGCTTTAAATAAGTTTGCTTTAAAAATTTAAATAAGGTTTGTTTTTCAAAATTTGTATTATTTACAGCATTGGAGAGTCACATATATTATTCACAATTTAAACTATACATGGTTTAAGATCATCCCTTGATAGAAGAAGTGTGAATTCAGGGTACCATTTAAATACAGAGGCTTTAAGAGGTATCAGGATATTAAAATCATTCAACCTATTAGAAAGTTTTGCAAGGCAATGCTAAAGTTTTAAAATGTACAATGTAAAGTTTTAAAATGTGCAGATCTTTATAGAACATTGCAACTTTTAGTGACTGATGCCTGGAATTCAAATATATTGAAATGAACTAACATCACCACAGTTACCTGACAATGCTAATATGTTAGATAATGTATGTATAAAGAAAGCTTCCCTTAAAATAATTTGATTCACAGAAATTCAAGTTGCCAAGAGTGAAGTCGTTAATAACCCAGTAATGCCTCTACTAGTTTTATACACAAGAGAATGAAAAAGATAGCCCAAAAGAAACTTGTACACATATTTTTAAAGCAGCATTATTCAATATAGTCCCCAAATGAAAACAGCCCAGCTGTTCGGCAACTTTTCATTTTTGGATTAGTTGTTGAAAGTGTAGAGAAACACAATGATTTTTGTATATTTACCTTGTAGTATCCAACATTACTGATCTAATTTTTTAGTCCTAAGAGCTTTTCTCAATGATTCCTTAGGAATTTCAACATACAAAATCATATATCTGAAAATAATGATAATTTTACATATTCTTTTACAAAATGGATGACTTTTATTTCATTCCTTGTTTAACTTTGGATATAATTTCCTACAAAATGGTGATGAATTGTTGTGAGGGAGTACATTTGTCTTTTTCTTGATCAAAGAGAACAAGTATTCAATCTTTTGTCATTAACTATGATGTTGTGTTTTGTTTTTTTTTTAAATATTTTTTTATAAATGCCCTTTATGCGGTTTTGGAAAATCCCTTCTGTTGCTAGTTTTTTGTTTTTTTTAATTTACCATTAAAAGTGTTGGATTTTGTCAAATGCTTTTTTTCTGCAACTATTGAGATGGTTATATTGTTTTTCTCCTGTATTCTTTTGGTATAGTGTATTACATCAATTGATTTTCAAGTATCGAACCAATATTGCATTACTGGGAAAATCCCACTTGGTCATAGTGCCTAATCCTTTTATATGTCACTGATTTCACTTTGAGGGTATTTTGTTGCGGGTTCTACATCAATAGGCATAAAAGATATTAGTCTGTAGTTATCATTTCCTGCATTATCTTTGTCTTCGTTTGGTTTTGGTGTCAGGCAATACTGACCTCTAATATTGGTTTGGAAAGTGTTCCTTCCTCTTCTTCTGTTTTTTTTTGTTTTGTTTTGTTTTGTTTTGTTTTTCTTTTTTGGAAGAGTTTGCTAAGAGTTGGTATTAATTCTTCTTAAAGTGTTGTAAAAAAAAAATAAAACCCACCAATGAGACCATCTGAGCCTGGGAATTACTTTGTTTTTTCTTTTGTTTGTTTGTTTCATTTTTTAATTGCTGATTTTATCTCTTGTTTATTATAGTCCCTTCAGATTTTATATTACTTCTTGAGTCAGTTTTGTTAGTTTCTGCCTTTTTAGGAATGTGTCCATTTCATCTATCTAATTTGTTAAAACTTTTTATTTGTACATGATCTTTCATTAAAATCCTATTTATTTATCTAAGGTAGATGAGAATGTCCACTCTTTCATTTCTAATTTTTATAATGCGAGCCTCTCTCTTTTTTTCTATCCAGTATAATTAAGGTTTTGCCAATTTTGTTGATCTTTTCACAAATCAATTTCTGCTTTAATGGATTTTTCTGTTGTTTTTCTATTCTCTATTTCTGTTGATTTGTATTGGATACTATTTGTTAAACTGTAACCATTTTCAGCTTCAGTAGTAGACTAAAACATATTTTATTTTCCATTATTCACATTTTCTCCATTAATTTAAGTGTAGAAAATAAACAAAATAATAACTCAAGCCCCTGTTTGTAGCATTTGCCAATTAATTTCTTTGGTGTAAATACTCCCACCATGGCTGATTTCTAGCTGCTAATGTGATGTCACTGATTGTGGAGTTGGAAAAAGATATGCAGTAACACAGCATTATATAGCATATCTACCACACAGATACAATAGACATATATAACCTAAAAATACAGCCAATATTGAAATGCAGTAAAATAATTAGGAAATGGTAAGTTTGGAGCATTATCTTTGCAATTTAATTTAGTTATAAGTACATGACTTAGTTCTTAATAATAGCTGTTTTTAAGATCCAGCTTTCAAAAATTCCTGAATATTTAACAAGCTAGCTCTAACACCATAGGTTAATGGAGCCTTCTTTGACTATATCTTTTATAATAAATTCATTAGCCTTTGATGTCACTACACTTATTTGTCAAACTACCCACGGGCCAGGCCAATCATTACAGTTTTGTGGTGCTTTAATTGTTTTTTCTTTTATAATTACATTATAATACATTATTTGATATGGAGATCATATTTATACATATTTGTAATTTATGTTCAATTGAGCATATATCTTATCTACAGCTATTAATCTTGATAATTGTTTATTTCTAATATACTCAGTTTCCAAAAAAGCTACTTAAAAACCACAGTAATTTTTTTAAATTTTTTTAATTTTAGCATAATATGGGGGTAAAAGTGTTAAGGTTACATATATTGCCCATGCCCCCCTCCCCCCTTGAGTAAGATCTTCAAGCGTGTCCATCCCCCAAACATTGTACATCTTACTCATTGTGGTTGTATATACACATCCCCTCCTCTCCCCTCCCACCTTTCCGACACCGATAAATGTTATTTCTATATGTCCACTTAGGTGTTGATCCGTTAATACCAATTTGCTGGTGAGTACATGTGGTGCTTGTTTTTTCATTCTTGAGATACTTCATTTATATATATATATATAAGTGAAGAATGGGTTCCACCTTTATCCACGAATATACAAGAGGTGTTATATCACAATTGTTTCTTAAAGCTGAGTAGTATTCCATGATATACGTATACCACATTTTATTAATCCACTCAGGAATTGATGGGTACTTGGGTTGTTTCCACAGCCTTGCAATTGTGAATTGTGCTGCTATAAACATTTGAGTGCAGGTGTCTTTTTCATAAAGTGACTTTTGATCTTTTGGGTAGATGCCCAGTAGTGGAATTGCTGGATCAAATGGTAGATCGACTTGTATTGCTTTGAGGTATCTCCATATTGGTCTCCACAGAGGTTGAACTAGTTTGCAGTCCCACCAGCAGTGTAGGAGTGTTTCTCTCTCTCCGCATCCTCACCAGCATTTGTTGTTTGGAGACTTTTTGATAAAGGCCATTCTCACTGAAGTTAAGTGATATCTCATTGTGGTTTTGATTTGCATTTCCCTGATGATTAGAGATGTTGAGCATTTTTTCATATGTTTGTTGGCCATTATTCTGTCTTCTTTTGAGAAGTTTTTGTTCATGTCCTTTGCCTATTTTTTGATAGGGTTGTTTGATTTTTTCTTGCTGATTTTCCTGAGTTCTAAATAGATTCTATTTATCAGCCCTTTATCAGATGTGTAGCTTGCAAAATTTTTCTACTATTCTGTGGGTTGTCTGTTTGCTCTCTTGATGGTTTCTTTGGCTATGCAGAAGCTTTTTAATTTGATCAGGTCCCATTTGTTCATTTTTGTTGCTGTTGTGATTGCCTTTGGGGTCTTCTTCATAAAGTTTTTGCCTAGGCCAATGTCTAGAAGAGTATTTCCAACATTTTCCTCTAGAATTCTAATAATATCACACCTAAGGTTCAAGTCTGTTACCTAGCATGAGTTGATTTTTGTGAGAGGTGAAAGGTGTGGGTGTCGTTTCAGTCTTCTACATGTGGCTATCCAGTTTTCCCAGCACCATTTATTGAATAAGGATTCTTTTACCCAGTGTATGTTTTTGTCTGCTTTGTTGAAGATTAGTTGGCTATATGAGGATGGTTTTATATCTGGGTTCTCTGTTCTGTTCCACTGGTCAAT